AATAGTCGCCTCCCTCCAATCAGGTGGCAGCTTGCTTTATTGAAGAGACTGGTTGAATAACTCCGCTACAGGATACTGAAGGATATCAGCCAGACGTTTAATTATGGCGGGGATGTACACTATCAGGACAGCTGATTTATAAGGGTTCAAACTGGCCAGCGCTGTGAAGACCTCTGACACATTGAGAATAATTTACCGCAATGTGTAGCTAGTTGGGCAGTGCGGCTGTGATGGCAAGCCTGACCCACTATCCTTCCGATGCAGGTTTTGGTAGACACGTAGCAGCGCTTCTATTTTATCAACGTCGTCTACAGCCTGGGTACCGTCCTCCATGGTTAGACAGCCGACTACCTCTTAGAGAAGCCTTTGCTTGGACATAACTGTAATAACACTTGGGATTTGTTTTCACTCACGGGATAATCCTATCGTTCCAATCCCGCTCGAACTTGAATTCATCGATGAAAAGTCTACATATGGACCCTTGAAGATACGTCGGAATGCATAAGAGTCATCCACCATGGCTGCTTTCGCTAGAAGCGGGAAAATGATTAACCACCTTAACCCATTTAAACCGTTCATTTTATTGATTTCTAATCCTCTTCTTAGCATATTAACAACGACGTTAACATAATACTAAACACACACATGCGTCGGAAGGCCAAGAACTTTCAACAACATACAACCTTGTGTGCCACAATCACACTGCCAAAGGATCATCGCGATTGGCGGATCCGACGCTCCGGCCGTGTGCACGTTGTGTTTTCATAGTTCATAGAGTTCATAGAGTTGTAGAGAGCAGAAGGGAAGACCCGTGTCAGCTCCATCACCTCCCGTTCATTGGCTGGATGACATGTCATTGCAGCTGCAGCAAAAACGGCGGAATCCAGGCATGCTTAGCATGTACTTGTCCAATCGTTCCTTAAAACATTCCCCTGTCTGGGCACTTACCACACATTCAGGGAGATTGTTCCACTCATTCATAACCCGTGTGGATAACGCGATATCGGACCTATGATTCCTCCGAGGTTTAAAAAGTTTCAAGCTGTGGCCCCGTGTTGAACAATCTGTGTTGAGCTGGAAGAACTGCAGCACCTCCTTCCCCAAATCGCCCCTTAAAATGCGTCTAGTATAAATCAGATCACCACGGCGACGGCAGTAGTCCAGAGTAAATAATTTCATACATTGGAGACGAAGGGGAAAAGGTAAAACACGTAGCATAGACAGACTTGGATCCGTGCCTCTGAACCTTCTCAATCAACTCACATTCGAATTTCGTGAGTGGGTGTATGGCAAGTAGGCCGTATTCCAGTATTGGACGAATGTGGGAGGAAAACAGGAGCCTGAAGTTCTGCGGAGTCAATTTGTAAAACGACCTTCGGATGGCACAAAGCATCCTGGTGGCAAACACTACCTTCCGCAACGTGTCCTGGATTGTTCTTAGGTTTGGAGAAATAAGTACACCCAAATCCTTCTCATCAACCACATTCTTCAACAGAAAACCGCCGATGTGGTAAGCGCCGAAAGGTTCCTGATCACCAATCGGGAGAACACAGCACTTATCACGATTGATAGGCATTTGCCACTTAACCGACCAATCGTGCAGCAGATCGAGCGTCAGCTGCAACCTGTCAGCATCTCCAAGCCTGGATACTTCCGACCAAACTTTAAGATCATCAGCATAAATCAAGCAGTCGATTTGGAGCACCTCCGGGAGCTCGTTGATAAAGATTCTGAATAGTTCGGGACCAAGTACGGAGCCTTGTGGAACCCTACTGGTCATAAGAACAGGACTAGAGTCAACTTCGTTAACCCTCACCTTCATACTACGGTTATCTAGGAAATCCGCAATCCAGGCGAGCAATTTACCAGCGATGCCAATCTGCCGAAATTTGATAAGAAGTCGCTTGTGTGGAACCCTATCAAACGCCTTGCTAAAATCCACAAAAACTACATCAAGTCGATGACCAGCATCCACTGACTGCGCCCATTTTTCTCGGGCAACAAGCAGATTGGTAATGCAAGAGCGTGCCCTCCGAAATCCGTGCTGAGCAGGAGAGATGACGTCCAATTTCTCAAAGTGAAGATGCAATGCCTGTTTCAAAATTCTTTCCATGGTTTTACAGAGGATTGATGACAGGCAAATCGGTCGGTAGTTCACTGGATCTTGGCGATTCCCACCTTTGTAAATCTGTTTCACAACATTTGCCTTCCATTTAGTTGGGAGACGACCTGCTTCAAGTGAGCTATGAAATACTTGACAAATTGGTACAGCAATGAACTCCGCCACCTCTTTGAGGAACAAGGGATGTAAGCCATCGGGACCCGGTGAATAATTCGAGTTCAAGTCGAGAAGCAGTTCCAGTACTCTGTCAGTGGTAATTTCAACATGCTCTAATGGTGACAGCGAGTATCCTCAACAACTAATGGCGCCTCCGTCGTATACACAGAGGAATATTGCGAAGCTAGTAGACAAGCTTTCGCCATGTCATCATGAAGTACGGTGTCCTCTTTACTTGAATACAGTGCGGGTAAACCGTTGCCAACTTTGGTGCTTCTTTTTAAGTATGCGAAAAGCTTTTTCAGATTAAGCGCAAATTGCTCGGCGAGGCGCTGCTCATATAATTCTCGCTTTTTTCGCTTTCTCAGTGCATAAATTTCTAGCCCCTTTGTAATGAGTGTAATCTTGTGCCGTCTGAGTGAACTTGAACCGGTCCCAAAGTTTTCGCCTTCTCAGCATAGGAGATTTGATTTCCCGATCTATCCATGTGGGCCCTTTGTAGAATAATTGTTTTGTGACCCTTGGAACAACCCGATCAATGGTAAACATCATCTTGGAGGACAAAAAGTCCCAAGCAGCATCGAGACCCAACTGATGAGGATGTTCCAGTCCATGAGGCTAGCAGCCAATTTTAAGCGGAGGGGGTCAGCTCGCCAGAAATTTCGGCGGCGCACTCCTTGGACATTGATAGCTAACTGTCGTATCCACAAAAAGGAGACCACACAGTGATCATTTTTAACAAGCGGCTGAAGAATGGCTAGAGCGGAAACATCTGATGAGCTAGGTGTGAGCACAAGGTCAAGGATGTGTGGCACATGGCCTGGAAAAAAACGGATAGGTGATAAAACGTGTTGCGTTAGATTACATTCGAGGACTATTTCTAATAAACGCGTACCAAAAGAATCTGGAGATAAATTACAATGAAGCATATCCCAGTCTACGGCCGGAGCATTGAAGTCACCCACAATCAAACAATCTTTACCTCCCCCGTGTATTCTCATAGAGTCTACCAAATGGGATCCTGACCCCAAGTGGCAGCTGTAGATAACGCCGACTATGAGCGGTCTGAACCCATCGTGGACCCTGCTCCAAAGAATTTCTGATCCTCCATCGAGATCACACATGGCTTCCACTGTGTGAACTTTAAGGTCTGACTTCCAGTGAAGTGCAACACCGCTCCCGGATCTCCCACCTAGACGATCCGCACGGGATAGTTGATACCCTGGAATAAATACCTCCGAGTCCGAAATATCCGAGGATAGCCAAGTCTCCGTAAAAGCTATCAGATCGGGTTCTTGCTCCGAAGTCATGAGCAGTATCTCATCCCATTTGTTTCTCATACTACGCACGTTCGCCGATATCACACGCAATCCACTCCTGATGCTCAGTGCACCGGAAGAACAAAAATTGGTCTCCACCGAGTCCTCGGGATTCTTTCTACTACTCGAAAATCCACAATGTGAAGGTCGCTTTCACCAGCTGCTCGTCGGTCTGCATCATTTTAACTCGATCTTCTGGGGAGAGTTCTCTCAAAACGTGGAACGTTTCTCCTTTCAAATGTGAGGTTCGCTGGAGGATACGGCGACATTCCTCTTCATGGGGCACACATATGGTTGACGGCATCCGGTTTCGATGTGCCTCTCACTGTGGCTAGCCACAACACGCCTGCGCCTACAGAAGGATCATGGGTGACTTGCGCTGCACCATCTACAGCTCAATCCACACACACTGTGTGCAATGTAAATCCGAAGGAATTAAACCGAAAAGCATGTGGATGGGAGTCACGTTTCATCAACGGAGCCGGCCCACATTCCTTCACAGGCAAACACAAGCACGCTGTATTTGGGGAATCACGCGCGTGCAAGGTGTTGCCTGGACCGTAGTCCGCTCTACACTGCGTGGAACCACTCTTCGAGCCTAGACGACCACGACGACCGTGCATCCCGTCTTCCATGCAACGATTAACAGTCTCTTAGAGCCAGTAATAGAGGTAGAGGGTGTTAGACAGGTAGGCACTTTGCCAACATTCACATCAAGCGCAGCCACACCGGGGATATCAAACAGCCAACATGGAATTTAACGGAAAACAAACACAAAATGGACACAGAGTATGCAGCAGAATTACAGTGTTGTAAAATAACATAGACCTAGTTTAAGTGTGGGTTCTTCCAGCCCAACTGAGGTGAAGAAGCATCATGAAGGCAACAGCAACCTTAGCCTGCGGCACACCCGTGACACATCTACTAAGTGTCACCCATCATAGCCATGTGGATGACGGGAACAAATTATTTCATGCAGGCATTTCCCTTCACCAATTTTAATAAAGAAGGAACAGCTTTTTAACAGAATTTACTGTATTCAGCGATTTCGCGTATTCTCAGTTGTTTACATACAACTGAGGAGAATACACGAAATTGCTGAATTCAGTAAATTCTGTTAAAATCTTGTTTCTTCTTGCTTTATACAAATTATTTCGTCTATCAAGGTCCCGTCTCATGGAGATTTTCAATTCACTCTTAGCTGTGTTGGGGCCAGTGAATTTGCGACATCATGCTTACTCCTACACATGCTGTGGGTTTCACTACGCCCTTCATTTTTTCGGTAGCACTCAACAATCATTTCCAAGAGCATTTTGTACACTAACTCACTTATGACGCACCGTCTCTGAAACTTACGACTGGTCATAGAATACTGCGTTGCTTACTTAAAAACTTGTTCTTCAGCCATGTCGGATGCTTTCTATCTCCGTTATTATGTGGGCCATCGGGGAAAATTTGGCCACGAATTTTTGGAATTCGAGTTTCGACCGGATGGTAGATATCTAGTTTAACTGACTGTTCTTTAAGGTAAACTAAGATACGCGAACAACTCTAACTATAAAAACGATACCATGATTCGCAAGGAGGTGCGCTCAATTCCAAGGGTAACAAAGTCCCCTTTAACAGGCATACGTGAGTCCCGCAGTGATGCAAGAATTACGAAGAATAATAGAAGAAAGTGAAATTTTATCCGAAGATGATGCCAATTGGCCAGATCCTGATCGAGTAGGAAGACAGGAACTCGAGATAGTGTGCGGGGACGAACATATTTCATTCACTACGTCGAAAATCGGATCCCTAATTGACATAACTAATAGCAAGTGAGTTTCCTCCTCTTCATCTTCACATGCTCTATCTTTTAGGGATCCAGAAGGGCTGAGGACATTCTACTACCTAGTCCAGGATTTAAAATGCCTCGTATTTTCCCTCATTGGATTGCACTTCAAGATAAAGCCCATTTAATGCGACACCTCACCAGCAGCTGTACATTTTAACCTTCCTACTATAAATGTCCTGCTCCACTGTTCATCCCTTTTAAAGTCTCCTGTTTTTCAAACCGCTTCCCACACCGTTGGCGAAGATTAGGTATGAAGACGATGTGACGTACCAAGACATGGCACCAGTGTGCAGAAATTGAGGGGACGTTTTAATATTTGTTTCCGTCGGCTAATCTGGTGCAATTAACTTAACACTCTATATGTTTTTGGTTAAAGATCACTGCAGTAGCTCTGGTGTTGCCAGAGGCAGCGACAGCATTCTTTACGTCCTCCGCTAAATCAATTCGGATTTGGCTGCTACGTATAGACAAACATATCACAAGGTTTTGCTTGTGACTGTATTTACTTTTGCATATAAAATACACTTGTTTAGTAGATACTCATCCGCTAATAACGTTTGTACAAATTCCTCATTCTTCTGAATAGTGGAAACCTCGTATTCGATCAAATAAGTGATAATCTCAGTTGCACACAGACTAGCAAATGGGAGTCGCTATTACTCCACAAACCTATTTCCACTTCAGTGGGTACTTCACCTTTATCGTCTAGCGAGGTAGTATAGAGTTAGTTTAAATTATGCTTACCTGTTATTGTTTGCGATGACTGGAACTACCGATAGTACGTGCTGGTTGATGTAGTAGCGATTTACTCATGCATCCTATTAGCAGGTAGCGACACCGATCTGTGCGTGCGATAACGAAGGTGCATAACATTGCGCACTGAAACTGTTGCAGTCCACATACCCCGGAATGAGTAATTAAAGCCACGGACCTCAAAATTAAGTGTCGGTAATTCTCTCGTTTTCCATGATGGTGTCCACTCTACCCACATCGTGCTTGGCTCTTGACCTCATAGTCATCGCCACTGTCGTGTTTTCTTCCATCTCCCAACGTGACTACCTGTTTGTATTGTGTATGGTGCGTGGGTACACGTGATGAAGTTGCCTCTGTTTCGAGGTATTGAACGCTTTTTCGCTGATGCCGTCTTATTTTAGCACGATATATGTTCATTCCTGGCCGTGTAATTTTAATAAGGTGTGCGAGGCTTGACGTGCCCCATGCGGAGGCTGATAATGCATTCTGGATGCTTCTTCACCGCAGTTGGGCTAAACCAACTTACACTTAAACTAGGTCTTTTTAAATTGGATAAATTTCATTCCACTTTATTTGTTTTGTTCTGTGTATCTGACCAATCTTCTATTAACTGGCCACGTTGCTTACTTTAACTGTGGTTATCTTTGTTAACTTAATTGCGTTTGTATAAAATTTTGCCTAATTTCTGGACATTTTGTACTTATCGCGGATTCGTTGCTAACCAGCTTACTTCATATGCTAATTTAGGGTAGAGTTATGTCTGCATAGCCGTATTCTTTAACAGATATATTTTATTTGATAATGTCATTTTAAGTGATTGGTTGTTGTTTGATATCCCCGATGTGACTGCGTTTGATGTGCATGTTGACAAGGTGCCTACCTGTCTATTACTCACTACCTCGTCCATACTGGCTCCAGGAGACAGTTGGTCGTTGATGGAGGGGACAGGGTGCACGGTCATTGTTGTCGTGCTAGGCTCGAAGAGTGGTTCCATGCACTCAGTGTGGAGCAGACTACGGTCCAGCCACCGCCTTGTGTGCGCTTGATTTCGCAAGTACAGCGTGCTTGTGTTTGCCTGTAAAGGAGTGTGGGCCGGCTCCGTTGATGAAACGTGGTTCCCATCCGCATGCCTCCCGGTCTTATTCCTTCGGGTTTACACTTGATATGGGGTATGTGGTTGGAGCTTTGGATGGTGCAGCGCAAGCCACCCATGGTCCCTCTGTAGGCGTTAGCGTCCTGTAGCTGGCCACAGTGACAGGCATCTACGAAACTGAATGCCGCCAATCATGAGGCTTGATCTTGAATTCTTGCCATGGCATGTTGTTAGATTAAGTGCTCCTTCTCCCTTATTATTCCTTATCACTAGTATCTCAATGGTTGTGTATTATTGATGCACCAGTACAAACTACTGACGAGCACTTCGCAACTTTTTTTACGCTGTTCACCCTGATAGAATGAGTGACCGATCACCGTCTGGCGACCTTCCACAAAAAGCTACGACGAAATAAATAACGGATGAAAATTGAGCGCTCAAAAATATAATTGGCGGCACTTACCCATGCTGTTTTTAATCGATTCCCGTTCCTACTGATTGCTGTCTTAGCCATTGCTCAAACTACACTTGATATTAAGGAAACCCACGGAACTGTAGTGGAAAAACCAACTCAAACTGGACTAACTACATAAAAGTACTGGTCTATGAGATAAGAATGTTAGGCCTGACCTTCGGTAAAGTACGATAATCGGTTCTTCGGAACTTAGTAGCACAATCCGGTACGGAAGACGGGATTCCAGCTAGCACGATGATTCCGCGTGGTAGATCCAATGATCGATGACCGAAGCAGGCAGACCGACGAACGACAACACAACCGGCATAGCCGAAGTCCGAAGGTGAATCGAAATTCCGAGGTGTTTTCGGTTTTCGGTCAATAAAACCAAACTGTACGATGGACAAAGAAAACGAGAACAAGAAGGTGCAATTGGAAAGTTGGAGTTGTACAACAGCTGCAGACTTCCCCCCTTAGAGCGTGAGTCACTGAGACGAATGCTCGATCCTGGAGTCTCACTTATCGTACCTCAATGGTTTGTAAGGAGGAACAACTGTAGGTCCGGAACGTGTTTGGTGGCGCGAATTCGGGTTTGTGTCGTGTTTTGCTTGTGCTGTGGAAGAGAGGACAGTGTCACACGTTAGATGAATTAGAGGCGTGCTTGGGAAAGTGCGCTGCTCGGTGATAGGAATGTCTGGTTTTTTCAGTGGTTGCGTCTCGACATTGGCCGGATTAATACGGTCAATACTCACAGCATCCGTTCGGCCATTTCCATCCAGCACGAAGTATTTCTCCTTCCGGCAAGCGACCTTAAGGAGGCCCTCCTAGGGTGGTGTCAGAGGGTTACTAACGGAGTCGATACGCACGAGGACGAAGGGTAATGTGCACAAATTTGGATGTACCTGTTGACTTCGAGGGCTGATTCGGGATGGTGTTGGACGAACCCACCTAAAACGTTGCCTCAGGCGTGTGACGTATGAGGTTGGATCAATTTCTCCAGTCATCCTTGAATCGGACACCATTTCTCCTGGAAGTATGAGAGTGGTGCCACAGAGAAACTCAGCGGGACAACAGCCAATGTGTCCTCCAATGGTTTTACGAATACCAAGCAAAATGATCAGCAGGCGTTCTGATCACTGTGCGCTCGACTGCGAAGCAGTAATTACAGCCTTAATTGGGCGATGGAATTGTTCAACGATGCAATGGGTACTGGGCAGTTGTCCGTAGATGGGAACAACCAAGCAAACGCTTCAAGACGCGAAGCAACGCTGAATTGAATTGAGGCCCTCTATCAGTAGTACTTGCGGCCCAGTAGCTGAGTGTTTCCCACCTCTAGCTAACGTGTATAATGACGATGATGATGCTCAGTAGTACTAGTGGCAAATGTGCCAAAGACTGAAATCTAGTTTTCAGTGAATGTTCGCGCGAGCCTCCACAGTAACATCTCGTAAAGGCAAAACCACTGGCCAACGCGTATAACGTTCAACACAAGTCAATGCTTACCCAAAACCGTTTAATGTAGGCAGCGATCCAACGATGTCAAGATGAACATGTTTGCAACGGGCGTCGGGAAGCGCAGATGTGCGGGGGACAGTAACCACGTGACGGCGGCCATTGCTGGTTGGGCAAGTTATGATGTTTTCCCAGTGCTGGATCTCAGAGTGCATGTGTCAAATGAAGCGATCAGTAATCAGCTTGACGGTGTCTCGGGTGTGAGATTTCATGCCGGTGATAACAGACAATTCAGCGGCACTGCTGAAGTACAAAAGGCCGGAGCTTTCCGGTCGATAGGTTACAATAACTTTTGTTGTCTGAGTTGATAATTGGCTGCAGTGGTAGTTTGATCGATCGCTTCGATCTCAGTTGCATAAACGCATGATCTTTTTCTTGATGAGTTGTTATGTCTTCGAGGTTAGTCGTCTGGCGTGAAGTTCCATGAAGACAATTATACGACATTACATCGGTAGCAACTTTGTTAGCGGTATCAATGTGACGAATGTCGGTGGCAAACTGTGATATTTAATCTAGATGACGAACTTCTCCTTGGGAAAACGGTGGGACGAACCACAAAAAACAAGAGCAAGTAGTTTATGATCCCTGAGAATACTAAACGTGCGACCTTCAAGCATATTCCGAAAATGTTTGATGGCGAGGTAGATAGCTAAAATTCCTTGACCAAAGGTGCTGTATCGCGTCTGTGCTGGCTGAAGTTTGCGAGAAAAAGGATAGCGGCTCAGGTTGACCGTTGATTACCTGCTGGTAGAACAGCTCCAACGGCGGTCTGAGATGCATCGGTCTTGAGGATGAGTGGTGTCAACATCTGTCCTCAAATGACTAAGCGCGGTAGCGTTGGACAACGCGTGTTCGATCTTGTCAAATCGATCAATTGCTTCCTAGGTGGACTCAAATTTTCGTGACCTGCCTTTAAGTAAATCGGTTAATGGCTGGAGTAGCTCAGAGCAATCTGACGTGGGACGGTTGTAATATATTACCATGCCGAGAAGACGACAGACTTTTTAACCATTGTGGTGCCGAGGAATCTGCAATTGCTTGCGTTTTCTCGGGGAGTGGACTAGTACCGTAGCAACCAATTCGGTGGTTTAAAGTTGACAGAACTCTGGCCAAAAATACACTTGTTGACACTGATCGTTACACTTTACTGGGCCCAGCGTTCGAAAATCGATCGAGGGTGTGATAAATGCTCACCATGATTGGAACTTGCTACAAGAATATCATCAATCAATATATCAATTGAAGTCGAGTCCTCTAAGCACCTCATCAATGAACCTTTGCAAAGTTGTGCTGCATCACGTAGGCTAAACGTTATGCAAACCAATTCATAAAGACCAAATGGTGTGGTTATAGCGTTCTTTGGAATATCGTTGGATGCAGCCGGAATTTGGTATTGGGCAAGTACTAAGTCTATCTTAGAGAAAATCTTTCTTATTTGTAGACCAATTGAAAAATCATTGATGCTCGGAATCGGATATCTGCCGTGGTCAATGTCATTTTGTAGTGCCCGATAATCTCCACAAGGTCTCCAGTCGCCACTGGACTTTATGGGAACCATATGAACCGGGGACGACCATGAACTCTTGGAAGGTCGAACGATACCGAGACGAAGCATATGTTCGAACTCTGCCTTGGCACTGGCAAGTTTGTCAGAGGCTAGTCGTCGATGTCCGGTGGTTACTAGCGGTGTGATATGACACACAATCACATACTTAGGCTTAGGAAAGTCGTTGGAAGGCTGCAGAAGTAGTTCCATGAACACATCGACGGGTAATGCCAAGCGAAGACTGATCGAACCGAAACGGTCAGGGACATCAAACTATCGCAGATCCACAATGAGGCCAAATTTGGTGGGAAAATCAACACCAAGGATAGGGCGTTGGGTGTCAGCGATGAGAAAATCAAAGTAGAAACCAACGGAGACCAAGGTGGAGGGTGAGCATTTTCTGACCGTATGTATGAATCTTTATATTGATGGCCATCTGCTATGTCAGCCCGGTTGGAAGTATCTTGCGTTTTTCCGAAGCACGATGGATAACGCTAACCTCGACATCAATCTCAACCAAGGACTACAAACTGGTTGAGGAATCCAAGACGTATATAGGCGAGTATAAGCGTGGCCAAACACAGCTGTTGCTACTACTGGCTGGCTTGGAGATTTCCCCGCTGTGAATTGCTGACTACCTTTCGATGATTACAATCAGGCCGACCATTTCTAGCATTTTCTCCAAAATGGTACCAACTGAACTAGCGTGGCTACGTGTACTTCGAGAGGTGCGTCTAAGACTTTTACCACGATAGCGATTCATCTCGAGATGGCGAGCTCCAGTTTCGCTAGCCTCTCGTAAATCGATTCACTTGGGTCATTCTTAGCGGTCGATTCAACAGAGTGACACACTGCGTTTTTAAAGCAGTACTCGCGAACCTTATCGGCGGTCCCGGTGAGTGGCCTGAAGAGAGATCATCCACGAATACAGTAAGAAGTTTGTTCGATCTCTGTCCGCTCTGGCCTAATACTCATCACCCTGACATCGGCTCAGGCAGTGATTACTTAACACTCAATCGATCCGTTCGAGTGAGACATCGGCGAACCATTTGCTGTCTAACCATTACCTACTTAGTTCGTCACAACCCCCTAAACCAATCCCTATCCGTCCCTTGTATGTTAACCTTATATACTTTATACCGGCCTGTAGATGCATCATTGGAAACAATTGTTTGCCTCAGATTGATGTTCGTGATGAATCACTGAAAATGTTCAGCAGTTTGAAGATTTGACATGTTCGTTGAAAGACATTTCATCCACAGTTGTCGCAGAATAGTGTCGTCTATCTTAGTGAAACTGACGAACGTATGCATGCGCCTGAGGAGTTGTGACGGTGTGCCGTCGCCTAGCTTAAGTTGTCGCAGTCTAGCTTTATTAAAAGCCGTGGTGCGTTTTAAAACAGCAGCTTTGTGTTTGTCGTAAGACGCATCTGCTGGAATCGATCCGAGCAGATCTATGAGGTCAGTTGCGATGTGGGTAGGACGCTTGGCAGCAACATGTGGGAATATCGCACTGCGTGGTAATGCGACGAATACGGAAGTCTTCCAAATTGCGAAACCACACATAAGGATCCGATGAATGGAAGACAGGTGACATAAGGCCAACAAAAGTTTTTGCAATGTAAGTAGGAGCAACGTGGCCTGACATTGTAGATGCACAAAGATAGAGAATACTGAAATTTCAAAATAACGTGATTTCCAAATATGTGATGGAAAAACCAACTCAAAAAGGCTTAACTGCATAACTGAACCAGTTAATATATATATATATATATATATATATATATATATATATATATATAAATACGCGGGAGAGCCTATGGTGCGCTGAAGCTGGTGGTGGCCAGATCCTGACAGATGGTCTACCCACTGCTGCTACTGCTGCGCCATAGTCTCATGTCCTGGGCGCCTCCACGTGGCGACCGCTGGGTGGGAGTTGGGTTTCGCCCTTCTCCCTGCTAAGATCCAGGACTCCAATCCGCATGAGTCGGCTAACTGACCATGTGCTAGACTCGCTGCCTTTCGGGTGTTCATTTAATCGAAGGCTTTGGCTGATGACCCGAGTCGTTCTCCTGTCAGGATTGGGCGCCCTGGCAGTATCCTAGTCCATCCTCTCCGGAGGTTAGGAAGTGGTCGATGGCCCTCTTCTCGTGAAACCTAGCCATGGAAGACAACAGGTTTACGGGTGATGTTCTCAAAGCTCGATTGGCGTAGAGCACGAGGGCCACGCATTGTATCTGACGGTAGGAGGGCACCTCCGGGTGTTCAATGGTTTGCTACTGCCCGCCTCAAGCCGGGCAGCCCCTGGTCAAATTGGTGCCAACCCGCCAAAAACCCGCCTGCGTCTGGCCGTGGTCGCAGGTGCGTATCCAATTACGGTCGCAAAACATATGATACTTGTTCCAGAACCTCAAAGTCTGCGTGTGACGGCCTTCAAGCAGATCCCAATCTGTCTCTGCAATCACATTCCCGAGCTGGATCTGCTCTCCACTGCCTTGTGGTTCAGGCTATTGAGTCAAAGGCTCCGGGCGGAGTCCCTCAAGCAAACCTCCAAACCACCCACTGCCTTGTGGGTCAGGCTATTGAGCCAAAGGCTCCGGGTGGAGTCCCTCAAGCAAACCTCCAAATCACCCACTGCCTTGTGGGTCAGGCTATTGAGCCAAAGGCTCTGGGTGGAGTCCCTCAAGCTAACCTCCGAAGCACAACGACCACCTCGCGTGCGGTTGCCCACCAATGCAATCGTATGCCTGCGCGCAAAGCACTCAGCATCACGTGCTGGAACGTGCGCACACTACTGGAGCGGAACTCGAGTGTACACCGTTTGGGACACACTGCACTGATCGCGATGGAGCTGGCGCGCTACAGCATCAATATTGCGGCGCTCAATGAGTCCCGGCTCGCTGAGCAAAATAAGTTGCATGAGGCTGGTGCTGGCTACACATTCTATTGGGTGGGGAACGCCGCCTCAGCACCAAGTGAACATGGGGTCGGATTTGCAATATCCGATCGCCTGAATGGCTAGCTGGTGGGTGAACCGTTAGGCATCAGCGCGCGACTGATGACTGTTCGCCTACGACTCGGAAGAGGTAAGTTTGCTACTTTTATAAGCACTTACGGTCCGACCATGAGTTATCCTGATGACACGCGTGATCAGTTCTACACTGAGCTATCCTCCGTGATACGGTCTGTGCCGAGGAGCGACCGACTATTTCTGCTGGGTGATTTCAACGCGCGCGTTGGGCGTGATGCATCAGCGTGGACAGATGTTATCGGTTCGCATGGCATTGGTTCAGCGAATGCGAACGGTGACAGGCTGCTCTCACTGTGTGTCACTCACGGCATGACGATCACGAACACTCGGTTTGCACTGCGTGCGAGTGATATAGCAACTTGGAAGCACCCACGACGTGGTCACGCTCACCTGCTCGACTATGTCATCGTACGACAGCGTGATATGCGTGAAGTGCGCATGACACGTGTACTGCGTGGAGCTGAGTGTGGCACTGATCACAAATTGGTTCGGACCAAACTGTACATATATTTTCGTAAATCTGTGTATTTCACTCCCGCCGTGAATCGGCCTAAATTTAACATTCTCTCCCTCGGTACTGTGGCGAAACGTACTGAGCTGGAGAAGGCGATGGCTGCACGCCTGTGTGGTGATGTGGACTGCATAGCTACAGTGGGCGACCTGTTGCACCACATTCGCGACCAGGTGACAGCTGCTGCCGAGGAGACCATTGGGCGCGCAAAATGTAAACGGCGTGATTGGTTTGATGACAACAATGCGACGATCGGCGCATTGGTGTCGGAGAAGAATGCAGCATTTGCTGCACATGTGGCAGACCCCAGTGACTTGGGGAAGAAGAGTCAGTTTCGCAAACTTCGACGGCGACTGACCCGAGAGCTCCGTCGCATTAAAAATGCACAGTGGACGGAGAAGACGAAGCAGATGGAATGCTACGCCGAACGCCGCCAACACAAGGAATTCTTTGACTCCTTGAAGGCGGTGTATGGACCGAGATTGGAGCCGCTGAGGACACTGATCGATGGTAGTTCAGGCGCTACCTGCATCCAGACTGCAGACATAATGCAGGTCTGGCGGAAACACTTTGAATGTCTCTTGAACGAACGTTCAGAGATCGACTGGCCTACATTGAACTGCCTGAAGCAGCACGACGTGAAGGCGGATCTGGCGGATACGCCGACACTGGATGAGACGTAGAGAGCACTTGCTCAGCTGCGAAATGGCAAGTGTGCCGGAGCCGACGGGATCCCGCCTGAAGTATTGAAACACGGTGGACCCGCGTTGTTGACTGCGCTGCACCACTTGGTGCAACGCGTGTGGATTGAGGAGGAGGTGCCTGCTGAGCTGAAGGATGCCCTTGTGCTACCACTGTACAAGGGCAAAGGGAGCAAGCAATGTTGCACGAATTATCGTGGCATCAACTTGCTGAGTTGTGTGGGCAAGGTGATTGCCCGAATCCTGCTCAATCGCCTCGTGAATCAGATTGTGGAACCTAACGTGGCGGAAGAGCAGTGTGGATTCCGTTCTGGTCGCAGCACTATAGATATGGTGTTTGCGGCTCGTCAGTTGCAGGAGAAGTGTAGAGAACGACACCAGCCATTGTACTCGCTTTTTGTTGAGTTCACCAAGGCACATGATACGGTGAACTGCGAGGCATTGTGGCTGGTGTTGGGTAAGTTTGGTTGCCCGCGAAAGTTTGTAAGTTTAATTGGATGTCTTCCCAGTGGTATGCGAGCGAGGGTGCAGCTGAGTGGAGAGACCTCGGATGACTTTGCAGTTGTCTCTGGTGTGAAGCAAGACTGTGTCCTAGCTCCTGCTCTGTTTAATATATATCTTCATGCAATGTTGTCTTGTGCTTTTGATGCGGCTTGTGCTTGCGGTGTTCGTGTGGAGCACCGTATTGATGGTGGGTTGCTGAACATCCGTCGTTTCGGTGCGAGAACTCTAGTCCGTGAGACAACTATCCGTATGTTGCTGTTTGCTGACGACTGTGCGTTGTTTTTACACAGCGCGGATGAGTTGCAGCACATGACTATTGCTCTGGCTTCGACAGCGGCCAAATTCGGGCTCACCATCAACGCAAGCAAAACTGTCTGTCTCTTTCTGCCTTCACCGGAGGTGCACTCTTCAATATTGCCGCAAATTAGCATTGGTGCTGAAGTATTGGAAACCACCTCCCGCTTTTGCTACCTTGGGAGTGTGATATCGACTGATCAGCAGCTACACGTTGAGTTGCGTAATCGCGTGTCGAAGGCGACAGCGGCATTCGGGAAGCTTGAGTACCGAGTGTGGAACAACCATCAGCTTAGCATTGGCACGAAGCTGATGGTGTACAAATCCATGGTACTGTCCGTTCTTCTATACGGCAGTGAAACGTGGACGATGTACCGGCGGGATGTGCGATATCTCGTGCGGTTCCATCAGCAGTGTCTGCGACGAATTTTGCGGATCGGCTGGGGCGCCAGAGTTGCAGACACGGAAGTGTTGCGCCGAAGTGGGATGTATGCAGTGGACGGCATACTTTTATTGAGACACCTGAGATGGCTCGGTCATGTGAGCCGTATGGATTCGACGTGGATACCGAAACAACTTTTATACGGTCAGTTGAGTATTGGGAAGCGGCACGTGGGGAAATCAAAGTTACGTTACCAGGACATGATTAAAGTGAGCCTCACACGTTCTAATCTTGATTACAGATCATGGGAATCGAAGGCGGTTGATCGTGGTGCGTGGCGCGATCTAATCACGAAGGCAGTTGCTGAAGTGCGGGAGAAAGCCCTCTTGCATGCAGAGAAGAAGCGGCAAGCACCGATGAATTGTACTCCATCGACATCGAGCGCATGGTGCTGTAGAACATGCGGTCGCGAGTGCCTTAGTTAGGCAGGCCTAGTGAGCCATGAGAGAGGTCACTCGGGACCACTGCCGAAGCGACGACGGGTCCCGCAGTGAACGTAGGCAGCACCGGCGCAACGTTTGTAGGCACGCTGAATTCGATTTACTAACCGCATGCTTGTATGCTAAGTCTCTTTATTTCAGGTGATGGGTTTACAGTTTTTACCTTAATGCTTTTCTTTCTCATAAAAATATCTCCCTGTACTCTATTTCATTAACTTGCACACATCGCATAAGCCAATTGTATTCGATTTCCATAACATTTTTGCGTTCGTGGCATTTCGTGTACTATACTTTCTGACTTCGTTCACTTAGCTAGGATTGGTTTTTAATCAACTTATTACATATGCTATTTAATTAATGTTTATATCACCGTTTCCTTATGCATTAATCGAGTTTTTCTCTTTCTCTCTATCAAGCGTTTGGCTGGTGTTTAATATCCCCGGTGTGGCTGCGCTTGATGTGCATGTTAACAAAGTGCCTACCTGTCTATTACCCACTACCTCGTCCATACTGGCTCCAGGAGACAGTTGGTCGTTGCTGGTGGGGACGGGATGCACGGTCCTTGTGGCTGTGTTAGGATCAAAGAGTGGTTCCATGCAGTCGGTGTGGAGAGGACTACGGTCCAGCCACCGCCTTGTGTGCGCTTGATTTCCCCTAATACAGTGTGCTTGTGTTTGCCTGTGAAGGAGTGTGGGCCGGCTCCGTTGATGAAACGTGCCTTCATCCACATGCCTCCCGGTCTTATTCCTTCGGGTTTACACTGGATATGAGGTGTGTGGGTGGAGCTGTGGGTGGTGCAGCGCAAGCCATCCATGGTCCCTCTGTAGGCGCAGGCGTCCTGTGGCTTGCCACAGTGACAGGCCAATCCGAAACCGGATGCCGCCAACCATATAAATATATAATTGTGCCCCATGCTGAGGCTGATGTTGCATTCTTGATGCTTCTTCACCGCAGTTGGGCTAAACCAACTTACACTTAAACTAGGTCTTTTTAAGCTGGCTAAATTTCATTCCACTTTATTTGGTTTGTTCTGCCTACCTGAATACTCTTCTATTAACTGGCCACGTTGCTTACACTAATTGCGCTTATCTTCGGTAACTTTGTTGCGTTTGTAGCATTTTTAACTAACTTGTGGACATTTTTTCCTTATCGCGGATTCGTTGCTAACCAACTTACTTCATATGCTAATTTAGCGAGGAGTTATGCCACCGTATCTGTATGCATTATTGGATTTGTTTTATTTCATCTTGTCGTTTCAGGTGATTGGCTGTTGCTTGATATCCCCGATGTGGCTGCGCTTGATGTGCATGTTGACAAGGTGCCTACCTGTCTATTACCCACTACCTCGTCCATACTGGCTCCAGGAGACAGTTGGTCGTTGCTGGAGGGGACGAGGTGCACGGTCCTTGTGGCCGTGCTAGGCTCGAAGAGTGGTTCCATGCACTCAGTGTGGAGCGGACTACGGTCCAGCCACCGCCTTGTGTGCGCTTGATTTCCCAAGTACAGCGTGCTTGTGTTTGCCTGTGAATGAGTGTGGGCCGGCTCCGTTGATGAAACGTGGCTCCCATCCACATGCCTCCCGGTCTTATTCCTTCGGGTTTACACTGGATATGGGGTGTGTGGTTGGAGCTGTGGGTGGTGCAGCGCAAGCCACCTATGTTCCATGTGTAGGCGCAGGCGTCCTGTAGCTGGCCACAGTGACAGGCGAATCCGAAACCGGATGCCGCCAACCATATATTTATAAAACTTAGTCATGGGAGACAACAGGTCTACGGGTTATAGGCTCACCGCTCGATTGGCGTAGAGTACGAACGCCATGCATTGTCTCTGACAATGCGAGGGCACATCCGGGTGCTCAGTGGTTTGCCACTGCCGCCTCAAGCTAATCAACCTGTGGTCAAATTGATGCGAACCCGCCAAAATCCTCTTGCGTTTGGCCGTGGTCGCAAAATACATTTGAATTGTTCCAGATCTCCAAAGGCTGCGTGTGACGGACCTCAAGCAGACCCCAGTCTGTCTCTGCGATCACATTCCGGAGCTGGATTTGCACCCCACGGCTTTGTGGGTCAGGCTATTGAGCCAAAGGCTCTGGGTGGAGTCCCTCAAGCTAACCTCTGAAGCACAATCGTCACCTTGCGTGCGATTCCCCACCAATGCAATCGTATGCCTGCGCGCAAAGCACTCAGCATCACGTGCTGGAACGTGCGCACACTACTGGAGCGGAACTCGAGTGAGCACCGTTTGGGACACACTGCACTGATCGCGATGGAACTGACGCGCTACAGCATCAATATTGCGGCGCTCAATGAGTCCCGGCTCGCTGAGCAAAATAAGTTGCATGAGGCTGGTGCTGGCTGTACGTTCTACTGGGTAGGTAACGACAGCTTAGCACCAAGTGAACATGGGGTTGAATTTGCAATATCCGATCGGCTCCATGTTCAGCTGGTGGGTGAACCATTAGGCATCAGCGCGCGACTGATGACTGTTCGCCTACGACTCGGAAGAAGTAACTTTGCCACTTTTATAAGCACGTTCGATCCCACCATGTGTTATTCTGATGACACTCGTGATCAATTCTACACTCAGTTATCCTTTGTGATGCCGTTTTTGCTCGCGTTGGGCATGATGCATCGGTGTGGACAGATGTCATCGGTCCGCATGGCATTGGTTCAGCGAATGCGAACGGTGACAGGCTGCTCTCACTGTGTGCCACTCACGGCATGACGATCACGAACACTCGGTTTGCACTGAGTGCGAGTGATATAGCAACTTGGACGCACCCACGAAGTGGTCACGCTCACCTGCTCGACTATGTCATCGTACGTCAGCGTGAAGTGCGCATGATACGTGTACTGCGTGGAGCTGAGTGTGGCACTGGTCAGAAATTGGTGCGAACCAAACTGTACATATATTTTCGTAAATCTGTGTATTTCACTCCCGCCATGAATCAGCCTAAATTGAACATTCTCTCTCTCGGTACTATGGAGAAATGTATTGAGCTGTAGAAGGCGATGTCTGTACGCCTGTGTGATTTGGAATTCATAGCCACAGTGGACGACCTGTGGCACCACATTCTCGACCAGGTGACAGCTGCTGCCGAGGAGACCATCGAACACGTAAACTGTAAGCGGCCTGATTGGTTTGATGAGAACTATGTGACGATTGGCGCATTGGTTTCGGAGAAAAAATCAGCATTTGCTGCACATGTGGCAGATCCCAGTGACTTGGGGAAGACGATTCAGTTTCGCAAACTTCGACGGCGACTGACCCGAGAGCTCCGTCGCATGAAAAATGCACAGTGGACGGAGAAGGCGCAGCAGATGGAATGCTACGCCAAACGTTGCCAACACAAGTAATTCTTTGGCTCCTTGACGTCCATGGACCGAGGTTGGAGACGCTAATCGATGGTGGCTCAGGTGCTACCTGCACACAGACTGCAGACATAATGCAGATCTGTCAAAAACACTGACTGTCTCTTGAACAGCCGTTCAGAGATTGAATGGCCTATTTTGAACGGCCTCGAACAACACGTGAAGGTGAGTCTGGCGGACACGCCGATACTGGATGAGACGCAGAGAGCACTTTCTCAGCTGCGGAATGGCAAGTGTGCCGGTGCCGACGGGATCCCGCCGGAGGTATTAAAACACGGCGGACCTGCGTTGGTGACTGCGCTGCACCACTTAGTGCAACGCTTATGTATTGAGGAGGAGGTGCCTGCTGAGCTGAAGGGTGCCCTTGTGCCACTGCACAAGGGCAAAGGTAGCAAGCAATGTTGCACGAATTATCGTGGCATCAATTTGCTGAGTTTTGTGAACATTGTGGTTGTCCGAATCTTGCTTAACCGCCTCATCAGTCAGGTTGTGGAACCGAATGTGACGGACGAGCAATGTGGATTCCGTACGGGTCGCAGCACTATAGATATGGTGTTTGCGGCTCGCCAGTTGCGTCAGTGTAGAGAATGGTACCAGCCTTTGTACTCGCTTTTTGTTGATTTCACCAAGGCACATGATACGGTGAACTGCGAGGCATTGTGGCTGGTGTTGGGTAAGTTTGGTTGTCCGAGTAAGTTTGTAAGTTTAATTGAATGTCTTCCCAGTGGTATGCGGGCGAGGGTGCAGCTGAGTGGAGAGACCTCGGATGACTTTGCAGTTGTCTCTGGTGTGAAGCAAGACTGTGTCTTAGCTCCTGCTCTGTTTAATATATATCTTCATGCAATGTTGTCTTGTGCTTTTGATGCGGCTTGTGCTTACGGTGTTCGTGTGGAGCACCGTATTGATGGTGGGTTGCTGAACATCCGTCGTTTCAGTGCGAGAACCTTAATCTGAGATAACTATCATTATGCTCCTGTTTGCAGACGACTGTGCGACTTTTGCGCATTGCGTGGATGAGTTACAGCACATGACTAGTGCTCTGGCTTCGACGGCGGCCAAATTCGGTCTCACCATCAACACAAGCAAAACTGTCTGTCTTTCTGCTTTCACCGGAGGTGCAGCCTAAAATGATGCAGCGAATCAGCATTGGTGATGACGTATTGGTAACCACCTCCCGCTTCTGCTACCTTTGGAGTGTGGTGTCGACTGATCAGCAGCTGCACAGTGAGCTGCGTATTCGCGTCTCGAAAGCGGCGGCTGCATTCGGGAAGCTAGAGTACCGAGTGTGGAACAACCATCAGCTTACAATTAGCACGAAGATGATAGCGTACAGATCCATGCTGCTGTCCGTTCTTCTGTACGGCAACAAAACCTGAGCGATGTACCGGCTGGATGTGCGATATATCGAGCGGCTCCATCAACAGTGTCTGCTACGGATTCTGCGAATTCGTTGGTGCGACAGAGTTGCGGACACGGAAGTGTTGCTTCGAAGTGGAATGTATGCAGTGGACTGCATACTTTTGCTGAGACACCTTAGATGGCTTGGTCATGCGTGGCGTATGGATTCGACGCGGATACCGAAGCAGCTATTATTTGGTCAGCTGTCTGGAGAAGCGGCATGTGGGGAAACCGAAGCTTCGTTACCAGGACATCATTCAAGTGAGCCTCTCACGTTCTAATCTTGATTGCAAGCCATGGAAATTGAAAGTGGTTGATCGGCGTACATGGCGCGATCTGTTCACGAAGGCCGTTGCCGAGGTGCAAAAGAAATCCCTCGTGCATACAGAGAAGAAGCGCCAATTGCGGAAGCGACAGACACCGATGGGTTGTACTTCATCGACGTCGAGCGCATGGTGCAGTCGCGAGGGCCTGAGTCAGACAGACCTAGTGAGCATGAGCGAGGCCACTCGGGGCGAACACCGAAACAATGACGTGTCCTGCAGAGAACGTAGACAGAACCGGCGCAGCGTTTGTAGGTACGCTGCATCCGATTTACTAACCGCATGCTTGCATGCCGAGTCTTCATTTCAGGTGGTGGGTTTGCTATCTTGTCCCGATGCTTTTTTAATCCCATATTAATGTCTACCTGAACTATCGTCTATATACCAGCACACGTCCCTTTAACCATTTTAGTTAACTTCGACAACACCTTCGCGTTTGTGGCATTTCCTTGAAGTATATTTTCTGACGTCATGAACTTATGGCGGATTTGTTCGTAACCAATTTATTTCATATGCTCATTTATGGAAGAGTTATGTCACCGTATCTGTATGCATTTTTCGATTTAATTTATTTCATCTTGTCGTTTCAAGTGACTGGCTATTGCTTGATATTCTCGGGGTGGCTGCGCTTGAGGTACATGTTGACAAGATGCATCCCTGTCTATTACCCACTACCTCGTCCCTACTGGCTGCCGGAGACAGTTGGTCGTTGCTGGAGGGGTCGGGGTGCACGTCCTCGTGGCCGTGCTAGACTGGTAGAGTGGTTCCATGCACTCAGTGTGGAGCGGACTATAGTCCAGTCACCGCCCTGTGTCTGCGTGATGCCCAACTACAGCGTGTTTGTTTGCTTGCGAAGGAGTGTGGGCCGACTCCGTTGTTGAAAGGTGGCGCCGATCTACATGTCTCCGGTCTTAATCCTTCGGGTTTGTACTGGATATGGTGTGTGTGGATGGAGCTATGGGTGATGCAGCGTAAGTCACCCATGGTCCCTCTGTAGGTGCAGGCGTCCTGTAACTGGCCACAATGACAAGCAAATCCGGAGCTGGATGCCGTCAACCATATAGCCAATGTGGTTAATATACACATCTATTCCATCTTTTGGTGGCTCGATATGTATGCCATAGGCAACTATATATATATATATATATATATATATATATATATATATATATATATATATATATATATATATATATAGCATAAATATCGAGCCACCAAACGATGGGATACATGTGCATATTAACCACATTTACTACAGAATTGAGAGGAGATAAAGTAGGTAGATATTGGGTGTTCCCCGCTTGAAAATACTGCACTACTATTACGCGTTTCGGTTATTACATCTCATCAGATAATGTTTGCAGGCATCGAACCCGGGACCATCGGGATGTTGGTTGTGACCGCTATCCCTAAGGCACCGGGTCACTGCCAACGCTTGGCACAACGGTATAATGTTGAGGGTCATTTTGAGGTACACGTTGTATCGATGGATTGCGACGCGAATCCCGATGGCCGCGGGTTCGATGCTTGCTAAATCTATTTGATGAGATGTAATAACATCGAAACGCGTCATAGTAGTGCATTGTTTTCGGGCTGGAAACACCCAATTTCTATTTGCGTCATCTACGGTCCTCGTGATCGAAAGACCATGGTTCACTTCAATGGGAATCGCGGTCAACGTTGAGATTGCGCGTCTCAGTCCATCTACACAACATGTACTTCAAAATGACCCTCGACATCGTTCATTATACCGTTGTGCCAAGCGTTGCCCGTGACCCGGTGGCGTAGGGGTAGCAGTCACAACTAACATCCCGATGGTCCCGGGTTCGATGCCTGCTAACTCTATCTGATGAGATGTAATAACATCGAAACGCGTCATAGTAGTGCAGTGTTTTCGGGCGGGCAACACCCAATTTATATTTGCATCATCTACGGTTCTCGTGATCGAAAGACCATGGTTCACTTCAATGGGAATCGCGGTCAACGTTGAGATTGCGCGTCGCAATCCATCTACACAACGTGTACT